AAACCATATCAAAATCGTGTTACAACAACTGTAGCTATTCTTGGATTAATTGCGACTGAATCTGCACTTAGTGCAACTGACACAGGTCTTCATCTTCTAGCGGCTGATGTACGTAAAACTGTTCAAGCAATTATAGCTGCTGGTGTTCATGGACAAACTCGTTTATTTTATCCATATTATATTGCAATTATTCCACCCCTTTATTATATATTCTCTCCTGTATATGAACTTGTAGCTCGCTTAGGCAATTAATTATCGTAATTTGTCGAAAGAATAAAAACAAAAGAAAAAATTGAGTCGAATGAGACACACACAGAAGAAAAATGTTTTGTATGTTTTTTTTTATCTAATACGATTACAATATAGCCTGATAAACGAGTACCATTACAATGTGTTTACTTTTGTTAAATGAAAAAACTTCTAAATATTCAATTAGAAAAAGTGTCCTAAATTAGCGTCGCTAAAAGTGTATACCTTGTTTTTGATTGGATGATTCATCTGGCTGTGATGGTATGCTGGTAGACTAGACGTGATTGTCTTCATTGTTATTGCAAAACTCGACAACATTGCATTTTTTACGTGATAATCTCAGTATGAAAGAACTGCAAAAAGTAAAAAAAAGTTAACATTTTTTTCTTTCCTTTAAAGAAAAGTTAGTCTTCCATATCATTCAGCAGCCATTGAAAATTATTCTCATTCTTCTGTTTATTTCATACAACGCTTCACAGGTTTGTTTTTTTTTCTTTTATAAAAGCTCTCAAACTATTTTAGCATCAAAATAAAGTAATATAAACTAATGGGTCGGCCAAAATAAAAAAAATATTTTGTATTTCTTCAATAATTTCGTCAGCTTCGATCCTATCGAATTAAATCATTTTTACTAGAATGGTCATTTGATGCTCTACAAAACTTCGTATAAACAATTTTTCAAAGAGCGAAGCATGAAAAACGAATAGATCAGAAATTCAAGATGTCAAAAGAATAAACTTCGAAAGGTTAAGATTATTTTTCCACATTTTAAAACTTCCACCACACGATATTTAAAAAACTGGCTTGTTCATTTTGAAGAACATAGAATTGGTCTACTGGTATCATGTGTTAAACAATGTTTTAAATGAAGCCTTAGAGCACAATATAGTATTTAATAGACTTTGGTTTTTTTGGAAAAGACTGATTTTAATTCGAGTGTTTTGTTCGTTTTACAAAAATGCTCCTAATTTCGCGAAAAATCATCAATATTTCAAAGCCAGAAGTCTTTACTATCGCATGGACATGTCTCTGAAGTAGTAGCATTTTGTACGGAGTCTCATGTCACAGTAGAATATGAATAGTATCATTAAATGCCGCATCGAGAAAAACTTGGTTTGATACCAGTGGTCATTGATCAAACAGCATTTTTTCCCAGTCTATCAAAAAGAGCAGACTTCAAAGTATCGCAACATGGGCAAGCGTAAAATGAGATACAGTTTAAGCTGTTCAAAACACCATAGAACACTTTGACAATGTGCCTTTGAAATTCGATACTTTTCGACGTCTTAAGTTTCTAATCTATTAATTTGTCATACTTCGAGTATGGTCGTGAGTGTCATTGTAAGTAGAATCCAGTTGCGCAGTCACAACCTGCACCGACAGTCGCACGCAAAGCTCCAGTCGAATCCTAAAAGCTCACACTTAATCCTACATCCACTATGAGGATTCAGAAAAGCGTTTGTCATACTTTTAACTCTGATCATAAAATCAATAAACTATAATGCATTCGACAGTAGACCCTTTGTTCGATCTATATAGCTATAAATCACGCAATTGATAAATTTGACGAGAATAAACTTTTTCTCCGGGTAATATTCGTAAAAAGGGATTTATATAAATCATACGAATTTGATAAATACTAATGTCACTATCAAACAGGTGGAATGTAAGATTTTCAAACGAGAGATAAATCCATGATAGATGAAAACTGAGTATTTGATACGAGGCACACTACCAGAGATAGGATCGGTTCTCGTTTTGTTTTATCACCGAGCCACTCTACTTTTTGTACAAGTTCAAACTGATTTCAATTCGATTCGGCTTTGAACCGAATCAATCTCATCTCAGAGAATTGTAAAAACACTATAGTTCATAGTTTTTTTTTATCATTATTACCACATTTTTTTCGGCGATTCTTCTAGCGACTTCTGGCAGATACGATGAAGTTTGATGTGATCATGCTGTCAATACGAAAATCTCTACCACAAAGTGTATAAATCATTTTTAAACTAATATAAAGATGAGTTTCTCAGACAGGCAAAACATTTCAAAGATATATTTCTACAAAAGCATACAGCTAA